ACACTTCCCAGGCACAGGCTAACAACACCCAAGGTATTTTATGCATTGAGAAAGGATATCTGTTTGTAGGAAGGTCATGGAAAAAGAACTGGGTATGGGGGCTGCCATGTCAATACCCAAACCATACTCAAGGAAATTGGGCAATTGCCCAACTGATACCTAATCCTAAACATATCTCGTTTTGGAGTAATACTATAATACAACAAACTGAATTTTCCCAATGAACAAGAACTGCTTCCCATAGGGATAAAAGGGAGGTTACTCTAATAGTTTTAGGGATAACTGCATTAATTGCAGCCATGGCTGGAATCAGCTATGGGGTGATTGCCAATCGTGTAACTGCAAAAAACCTAACTAAAGTAGTAGAGGACACCTCAGCCCAGGTAGGCCTTGCCATTAAGGACATGCAAAGGTCTTTGTTATCCTTTGCCTGTATGGTCATGGGCCATCACCTGGCCCTAGATTTTCTTTTGGCTAAACAAGGAGGGGTATGTGCCATCGCCAATACTTCCTGTTGCACATATATAAACACTTCAGGCATTGTAGAGCAAAGTGCAGAGTACATTCTCCAACAGACTAAGTGGCTCCGGAAGCAATCTCTTGAAACTCAGGTTTCTATACAGGTATAGGACCAAATAAAATCCTGGCTCCCCTCCAGGACTTGATTCCTACCCTTTCTGGGGCCTATAGTTGCCATTATTCTCTTGCTTGTGTTTGGGCCTTGCATTTTAAGCTTACTTGTCAAGTTTGTTTCTTCTCGCCTAGAGTCCATCAAACTACAAATGCCTCTGATGGAGATGAAAACAACCTACTATCGCGGTCCCCTCTAACTCCTCTCTCATGGTCAGCCCTGATGCTGCGGGCCCCTTCATCGTCCCATCAGCAGGAAACAGTTACTGTTACTGAACAAACTTTGTCGTTCTTATCCCTAACAGCAGTTAGAGCGGCCATTGAGAGGGGGGATTGAAGGACAGACTGCAGGAGATCCCAAAATGTGGTAAGTCATCAAGGAGACACCTCTCCTTCCCAGGAAACTTCTGTCTGCACCTGAGAGACATCTCTGCCCTCAGGCAATACTCAAAAAGCTGTAAAACCCAATCCCCAACCCACGGGACCACCGGTTTCAGGGTTCCCCTGCATTCCCCACTATGAAGTCTTTCTCTTCTCTACAAATAAAATCTTTCCGACCTCTGCTGTTGGAGTCTGCCTGTGCTTTCATTCTCAGAGCAGGCTCAAGAACGCTGAGCACCTGAAATTCCTGCGTGTGTCATCTGTGCATCAATAGAACTGTGAGCAAGGTCACATCCCTGCATCGTCATTTTTGTTTTATAAAAATTTTACTTCCCTCAGTAGTTCTGAATGCAGATTCTGAAATGGACAGGCCCTTGTAGCCCGCATGTGTGCATGTTGGCTGGTTGAAACAGAATCAGACTGCTTTTTCCTTACCAGATTACCAAATGTATCTTATTACTTGAGTCAAGCTATGCAGCCCGCTGTTTTCACATGGTATAAGAAACGGTTAAGGTCTGTATCTTACTTATGACCTAAAGGCTCATGAGTTGAAGGACTGGTCCCCAAGTGATTATGCTACTGGGAGGAAGTAGACTCTTTAGGGGGTGGGGCCTAGTAAAAGGAAGTTAGGTCACTGTGGGCATGCCCTTGAAGACCCCGACTCTTCCCTTTGCTTCCTTATCACCAGGAGGTAAACAACTATGCTTTATCACACACTCCCCAATCACTCAAGAACAATGAGCCCAAGAGAACTTTCCCTCAGGTTGATTTTCCCAGGTATTTGTCACAGTGATGGAAAGCTAACACAATCTTTCCATGACAATATCTGCCTTATGCTAAAATCAAATACGTATTTGGTGAGGTAGAAATATTAAGCAGCCAGTTTTAAAAGAGTAACCTGAACAAAGTTAACGAAGAGAATTAAGATACTATTCATTCATGCAAAAAACACAAATAAACAAAACTTAAACTTCTAGATGCTTACATAAAATACCTTGACTGGACTAGCTACAGAATTACATGAAGACATTTTATGAAAGCATGTTAGTATCAAGTTACATACGCCTATTTTGTCAGAACCACTGACTGGCCAGTGCAGGGTTGTTGAAATACAATAGCATAATAAAACTTTCTCCCACAACCACAGGATTAAAAGTTGGCACATTCAGACAACTTATTGCTGCCACATTGCTTCTACCCCACAAATTTTAAAACTGAATTTATTTACAATCTCTTTCATGAGCACTAACTTGAAGATGCCGACAGCAGAGCTTCTGTAGAGTCAAAAACTAAAGGAAGGAATGGAAGGGAGGACTCAGTAAGGATCAGGGTGAAGTCAGAATATAAGAAAGCTTATAAAAAAGAATTTACAAAATCAAAACTTTCCTCTCAGGGCTGTGGGTGTAGTTAAGAGGCAGAGCTCCTGCTTAGCAAGTGCGAGGCCTTGAGTTCAACCCCCAGCACCACTACCACCATCCATGGATGGATTGCTAGGCCAGGAAGGAAAATCCTCACTCCTTTTTCAACAACTAATTCAAGAATGTCAATTAGTCTGTTGTGGTGGTGTGCACCTGTAATCCTAGTACTCAGGAGGCTGAGGCAGGAGGACCTTGAGTTTGAAGCCAGCCTGGGTTGTGATAGCTACTCTATCACCAAAAAAATAAAAAGAATGTTAAAGTTTGACTTTTATAGGGATTTTTTTTTTTGAAAAAAATGAACTGAAGTCTTAGTATCAAAAACTTTTTTAGATATCTTTATTCGTCAAACTTCATTATCAAGTTACAAATAAATAGTCCATACCATGTAGCTATGGAACTTCTTTATGATATACACTTTCTCTGGCAGAAAACAGCAATAACCAAAATTACACTGGAAATGAACTCACAGTAAATACCACATGTAGAAAGGATGCATGACATTTCAGTGTGGTGCCTATGTACACTGTTTAAAAGTTGATATCCCTTTAAAACATCACAGATGTACATAATTTTCTTATAAAAGGAACCCACACATTTTTTCAAAACAAAGTTTAAAAGTTGTATCACAGAGACTAGCTGTTTAAAAACAGTAAAATCTTGGGTATTTTAGTAGTGAAGTTATTTTTAAACACTGCCTTAGAGCTCATGGATACCAATTCCACTACTTAAAAACAAAAGTAGTGTTTAGAAAGTAGATACCACTTTCAGTTTTGTTCTACTGTCAGTAAAAACTTTTTAAGTTTAAGCTAAAAATCAAAATAAACAGCAGGGCTGAGGAGTGGTATGGGGCAAGGGGCCATGAAGCCACATGCTATAAAACTGTTGAACTCAAACATGAAAGGTTTAAAGATCCCTCAGATAGCTTATATCCAGAAGACAATTGTTCTCAGGAACCACTCTTTTTGGATTCGTACTATTTTCATAGATGCATATGAGATTTGAGAATATACTTTGAAATTCCTTAGCACTTTCCTCCTTCAGTATCACCTGGTTAAACCAGTGTTTCTTATAAAATAAGAAACTTGTTGGATGGGTTTTTTTCTTACTGACCAATTTTTTCTTCTTGAAAGAGTAGTATTATAAGACATAGTATTTCAAGTCTCTAAAGGTAGTTCAGGTTAGAGAGTAGCGTGTTTGAAAGAGGATTTTTTAATTTAATTTCATATATTTGACACCTTCCATCTGATATCTTAATCATGAGGAAATAAATGAACTTGATATAGATTAAATAAATGAACATTAGATGTTTCCTAAGAGAAACTTTTCTTCTGAATCACTAAGAATCTACCTATTCATCTGACAGTATTTCAAGTCACATTAACTAGCATCTCTTTTAAAACATTAAAGCTTTTGCTCTAAATACAACTTTCAAAAAGCATTTGAACACAATTATTATTGTAACGACAAACATCAGACACGACTTCTCCTCACCCACCCTGTATTGATTGTAGGCAACAGCACTCTCAACATGGAGAAGCCCGTTTATTTTCTTCCTGCTTTGCTTCTTGGCAGCTTTCCCAAATGTTATTAAAACTTCAGCTATGACAAAGAAAAGGCATCCAGAGCACAAGTACACACGTCTACAAGAAAAGCTGATAAAAACAGAACATCCTATTACTGTACCTCCAGGAATGTGGCTTGTAAGGTGAACAAAACTCCAGGGTCCCGGTCTCTCTCACCACTCCCCCAATCTATGTTCATTCTCTTTCTTTTTAATGCTTAAAGTAGCTCAGAATCAAGATAATAACCAGTCTAGCATGAAAAATGTGATGGCTGTGACTTTTTAAATCCTAATTTTAGCATATCTTCACTGATGCAGTACTAACTCCTAATCCAGAAATAACAACAGGCAAGCAATATATATAAAAAAGCCTGTACATCATACAAGCAATGTTTGTTGGATCACAATTTTTACATTGACAGGAAAATCTATAAATCGCCTTATCTCATTATAAAGTTACATTCTCTTATATTTTAGTGAGAATGCTATTACCAGAAACATTCTAAATTATTTCTAGTATTTTTCTAGAAAAAAAAGGTGCTCTTTTAAAATAAGCTACCACAACTCAGTGTCTCTGTCTCTGCTCTCTCTCACACACAATGAGTGCAAACTACAAAAAACAAAAATGAATTTTAAAATGAGATACAGGATTAAATACCTAGAATAAAAGTAGATTTTTGGGACTAATTTGCTGTGACTAATGTGTTCATAAATCTAGACAACTAAATTTCTACACGTTGTTTTTGTTTTTTAAAATTCTACCCATTCAGAATTGCTCACATTTAGTTTTGGATACTTCCCTGGTTTCAACTAAGTAGAAAACACTGAAGTTATGACAGGAAGCTGCTATCGACTAAATGTCAGCGGTGCTGCACTTCCTGTGTTAACTATCTTCCCTTACTACCAAGACCATATCCCTCTCCTGCCCCATTTTATTCCATGCAGTGCCAACCAAACTACATTTTTCTAATAAAAAATAAATATACAAAGAAGACACTGTCAGGCATATATTCACAAGGTCTCAATTTCTTAAACTTAAGTATGGATATATTTATTTCTCTCAAATGCATACAAGACAATAATTACACAGCCAACAACAAATCTTTTGTTCAACAATGATTTGATTCATAAGCATTAAAATTTACATAATTTCACATCCATACCCTTGGATTTTTAAATACATTAAGTAAAAAAGCCCCAAATAACCAATTTTTATATTTCCCATTTATCCCTCTATACATCCAAACTTTAAAAAGTTACAAACTGAACACTATACAGAACATATAAATCATGTTTAAAAACTCGAGGTTTTAAAATCACTGCTTCCTCAATGACTCAGAAAAATGCTGCTACTGACAAGTCCAGTCATAGGTTGGAATGTAAATTGGAGAAAAGAAAAGAAAAAAAGAGACAGACACAAGTTTGCTGTCTTAACATTTTACTAATCCTGTCAGTTAAAAATGGTGATGTGGTGAGAAGCAACAGCTTAGGTTTAATATGAGGAATGGAGTTTGCCTCATAGTCTGAGACATGCATTTCAAGTATTTCCTATTTGATCTGAGCTCACTGTAGCAAACTGATGCCAAAGGGAACAATTATTTTCTCCCATACATCCGCTCAATGTCCGCCTGGTAATGTGTTTTCAGCTCTTTGCGTTTCAACTTGAAGGCATCTGTCACCAGACCAGTTTCAGGGGTCCACGGTTCAGGGCTCAAACGAATTTTTACTGGAATTTCAAACTTTTCCAGGCTTGCTGGGATGATGGGGGAAAAAAAAAAGTAAAGACATTAAATATGTGCAATTAAAGTTCTTATCAAATAGCATGTAATACTCACCAAAATGCACAAACAAAAATGACCCATGAATCTCTAACCAGTATAATTCTAAAATATACTAGTATACATTTAAAAAAAAGGAGTAAGAACTTTAACAGTAAAAACATTTATTAAAAACCTATCAATAGGAGAACAAGTTAAATAAGTTATGATGCCGGTATAAAATGGAATATAACTCCATCATTAAAATGAGTTAGGTTTATATACATATCCAAAGCACGAAAAAGGCAAATTGTAACACAAGCCGGATAAACTTCCATAGATTTGTTTACCGAAGATGTAAATTGTGCACTTCTAAGAGCTAGGATCCAGGAGAAAGGAAAAGGAGAATTTTACTTTAAAGAGAAGTTATTTCAGAAGTTAAAAATAAAGTTCAAAAGAACCTCACTTGTCAATGAACCAGGGGCAGAATGTTTCCTTACTACAGGGTTCCTAACACACTCTAATACCCAGCAGACTCCTAACATCAGAAGAATGGAGGCAGGAAGGCAGGGATGCAAAGAATCACAGATAAAGAATCACTTAGTAAAGCTTACTTTTAAACATTAATCCAAAAAAATATTAAAAACAATTACTATGTGTAAAGTGCTTCACTAAACATTCTTAGAAAAATGTAAAGATGAAATAGCTTCCACACTCATGCAATCTAACAGAGGAAGCAAGCAAGTAAGCATCTCATTATCACTATATAAAAAAGAACTGTGCGAGAGGAACGGGCTAATCTGATTAAAGTATAACATATTCAGGACGAAATTAACGCAGTGAAACAACATCCTTTGAGCAATGAATGACCCTTAAAAAAACGAAGGAAAGGAAGGTAAAATAGGTCCTATTCAAGAGTGGGTAAGAGTGGGTGAATGGAGAGGAGGAAGAAGGGCAAATATGATCAGTGAACTTTATACACTTGTATGAAAACAACAAAATATGTTGAAATTGCTTTAAGTATGGGGAAGAGGGACAAGGGAAAATGATGGTGGAGGTGAACCGAATCATGATACACTGTAAGCATATGTAAATGTCACAATGAAACCCCCCTGTACAATTAATATATGCCAATAAAAATATTTTTTAAAAGACAAAAAAATGTGGTAAGGTGGAGTGATACCAATGAGATGACAATACGAAAATCCACTTCTATCTCTCCCATAGGGACATGGACTGAATAATAAATGGACCTATTTACTGTCGCGGTGAGAAATCCAGAAGTGTGTTAAGAAGTTCCTGTACTCCAGGCAAGCATAAAACCAACCACATCAAAGTCTAGTGAGAAAATGTGACATTCACTTGCCAGAACCCCTCCCTCCTTTCAGAACAGTGTAGAGGACTAGGGGAAAAAATCCAACTCTTGACTTCTTCCTAGAGAGGAAAAAGAACAGAACTCACACCCAACGTTCTGGCTTTTTCAGCATGACAGAGGAACTGTTATTCTATCTTGCTTGTATGAAGCGAAGTGAAGTGCTCGCAGGAACAGGGTGCCAGGTTGGGGGCTTTCAGGAACAAAGGCAATCAACATGTAGAAAAGGCTGCAGTATCACAGCCAGACGCAATGGGGAGCTCCTGAGTGAAAAACAGCAGCCCACTTCAATTAAGATTACACCCACAAACCCAGAAGGTATCTATATCCCTAGTAAGGATCTGAGATGGCTCCAGAATCTCTAATAGGGTTAATTAGAGAAAGCCTTCCTAGCACAAAACCAGACTACAAGACTGAAAAAAGTAGCTAATTTCAAATCCAAATTTGCAAGAAAAATGGCCTATTACAAAAAGATCAAATTAAATACCCATGAACCAACCCCAAAGAAGCAAGCATGAATTAGCAGACACGGAATTCAAAATAACTTCATCAAAATGCTCTGTGTAGCCACGTGTGGTGGCTCATGCCTGCAACCCCAGCTCCTCAGGAGGGAGATAAAGGGAGGGGAGGACCACAGTTCAGGATAAGATAGGGCAAAGAAGTTTGCAAAACCCCATCTCAAAAAAAGAAAGGTATGGTGGGACACACCTATAATCCCAGCCAGGTGGAAGGATGATGGTCCGAGGCTGGCCCTGAGCAAAACCAGGAGACCTTATCAGAAAAAAATAATGAAAACACACACACAAGGGCTAGGAACATGGTTCAGGTAGAACATTTGACTAGTGAGTGTGAGACCACATTCTGCCCCAGTACTGCCAAAAGAAAAAAAAAAAATGCTCAGTGAATTGACAGAGCAGAAAGAGACAATTAAAAGCCAGAAAACAATGCATGAACAAAATGAGAATAGAGAGATTAAAAAAGCAAAACAACAACAAGAAAGAATCTACAAAGAAGAACCCAAAAGAACAATTCTGGACCTGAAGGACAGACTCAATGAGTCGAAAATTTCACTAGAGGAATCAGCATCAGACTTGAAAATTAGAAAACTCAAACACAGGATTTTTTAAATTACTGAGGCAGAGAAACAAAGAAAAAAAATTCAAGACAACCTGTGGAACCTATGGAACACCACAAGTAGAAAAACGGTTATAAGAGCCACAGAAAGAGAGAAGGGGACAGAGCTCCTGTTTGAAGAAATAACAGGGTTGGGGGTATACTTCACATGGGAGAGTGCTTGTCTAGGATGAACGAGGCCCTCAGTTCAATCTCCAGTACCACCCAAGGGGAAAAAAGCCAAAAGAAATAATGATCCCAACCATCCTACATCTGAAGAAAGACATGGACACAACAACTTCAAGAGGATTAAAGAACTCCACTAGGATAACTCTAAAGGGAACTATACTAAGACATGTTATAACCAAGCTGCCAAAAGCCACAAAGCTCTTCAGTGTGAAGGGAAAAAGAAGTGACTCATCATGTACAAGGGAAGGCCCACTAGACTACCAAATAAAGTAAGCAAAATCAATGTATTTAGCCACGTATGGTGACACACACTTGTAGAACCAGCAAGCTGGGAGGCCAAGGCAGGAGTATCACATAGTAGTCCATGAGTTCAAGACTACTCTGGGCAACACAGTGAGTCCCTAACTCCAAAGGAAATAAAAAAAAAAAAAATCCTAATACATCTCAGCAGAAAGTTGCAGGCTAGAAAGGAGTGTGGTGACATATTCACAGTCCTTCGAGAGTAAAGCTGCCCATCAAGAACACATGGTAAACCTGCACTTAAAAATCAAGATGTTAAGACTTCCCAGAAAACAAAGTCTGAAGAATCATCACAACTAGATCTGCCCTTTAAAATATGAGGGCAAAAGGGTGATAACATAAAATCACACGAAAACCTAAAACTCCCTGGTAAATATAAATATCCAGACAAACACAGAATTAGGAAGTAAAGTAATCTAGATGTGTGAATCACTGGTAAATCTGACATAGGATTTAATAAAAAACAAAAATATAAAAATTATTATTATTTTGTGTAAATGGACACACAATAAAAAGATCACTAGTGTTATCAGTAACATTAAGGGGGTGAGCAGGGACACAAAGTAGTTTTACAGAGACTGAGGTTAAGCTGATATCAACTGTAAACAGACTGCTGTAAGTTCAACATGGATTATGTAATTATAGTGGTAATACAAATTCACTGTATTAAGAAATATTTTCATAAAGAAAACACCTATATAGAATATACACAAAGAGAAGTGAGAAGAGCATCAAAACATGTCACTATAAAAAAATCAACAAAAGGTGGCAAAGGAGGAAAAATTACAAGACATACAGAAAACAACAAAATGGTAGTAGGTCTGTCCATTTTAAGTAATTACCTTAAATCTAAATAGACTAAATGCACAACAAGAAAAAAAATCCAACTGTGTGTTATCTACAAAGAAACTCACTTGAGATTTAAGGACAACAACACATAGGCTAAAAGTGACAGGATGTAAAGAGGAACCTGAAAAGAGAAGGGGCAGCCATACTTCATCAAACAAAATAGATTTTAAGACATAAACTGTCATTAGAGCCAAGGGACACCATATAGCAATAAGAGGATCCATTCTCAAAGGAAAGTACAACAATTGTGCATTCTCTAACACAGACCACAGGTTACATAACAAAGTCTTAACAAACATCTTCTCCGACCATAATAGAATGAAACTAGAAATCACAAGAAGGAAAAATATATAAACACATGGAAATGAAAAGGAAGACGATTTCAAATCAACATCCTAACTTTACACCTCAAAGAAGCACAAAAAGAACAAGCTAAGCCCCAAATCAGCAGAAGGAAATAATAAAGACTAAGGCAGAGATAAATGAAAGGTAACAGAAAAACAATTTTTAAAAAACCAACTAAACCAATGGTTGATTTTTTTTTTTCAGATCAACAAACTGAAAAACTCTTATTTACACCAAAACAGAGAAGACTCAGATAACTAAGATTACAAATGAAAATCAGTCAGCACTGGCAGCTCACATATATAATCCAGCTACTCAGGAGGCAGAGATCAGGATTGTTGTTTAAGACCAGCTCGGGCAAAAAGTTGGTGAAACCCCGTCTTAACCAATAGCTGGGTGCAACAGTGTGTGCCTGTCACTCCAGCTGCTGCGGGAAGCATAAATAGGAGGATCACAATCCAGGCCAACTCAGGTAAAAGGCAAGAAGACCCTATCTTAAAAATTACCAGAGCAGAAAGAGCTGGAGGCACGGCTCAAGTAGTACAGAACCTGCCTAGCAAGTTCAAAGCCCTGAGTTCAAAACACAGTCCACCAAACACCAACAAAATAGATGAAAATCAAAATGGTAAAATGAGACCTGCTGAAACTATTTCAGAAGTCAGGGGAGGGGGATAAAGGAGAATGATAGAGGGGATGAATTCAACTATGATATATTTTAAGTACTTTGGTAAATGTCACAATGTACCCCCAAGTATAACAATAATAAAAAAAATTAATTTGGATAACCTAAAAGAAACATAGACTCCTTGAAACATGCAACCTACCAACACTAGTCATAAAGAAATAAGAAATCTGAACAGACCCATAACAAGATATTGAAGCAATAATCAAAAATTTTGCAACAAAGAAAAGCCCAGGACCAGAGAACTTCTGTGTTGTAAGAAAAAATAGTTTATTTTAATGATCAGTCAAGTACAGATACAGAATAACATCCTGGAGAGAGGCATATGAAAGTGAAAGGAAGTTACTGTACAGACCCTCTCCTCTCCTCTCCTTAAGTGGAGGACCACTTAAGTTTTTCTTGAATTTCAAACTCCTTAGCACTGCACTCATTTGAATCAAAATTATCTTTTTACGTATATACTGACACTATCTAAATCCATGCTTTAGGAAAATAAACACAGCACAACCACATGACCAGTTGGAGAAAGAGGGGTCTAACAGCTGTATTTTTTCCTCATGTTCTTATGAATATATAAGCAAATATTTCATTTCTCCATTTTTAGTCCATATCAATCATAACGTATTAATAATAGTTATCTTTATATCACAGTATTTAAGTTATACACTATCAAAGGAAAAGAGTAAAAATCATTACATACAAGGAGTCTGCATTCTTTTATGGGGAAAAAGTTAGTGTATTTTCAGTTCTAAGCAGGATAATTGTATCTTATTAGACAGAAGTATGATCTTGAGATTATCTTTACTTGGAAATCATGCTTTAAGGAGATCTGTATGACTGCCCTTTCACAAGGGGTGGATTGTGGTTGTCATTTTTATGTGTCAACTGGCCTATACTAGAGTCCACCAGTTATTCAATTAAGCACTAATCTAGGATTTGGTGTGAAGGTATTCTGTGTATTCCAAATAATCACAGTGAAGGAACTTAGAGCAGAATGGAGACTTTCCCAAACAAGAAACTCTGCCTATCAAAAGGGACTTTCACAGTGGAGAGTCCAGTTCATTCTTTCTAACAGTTTGTCCTACAGATTTTCAGACTTTACCTAACTAGTCCCCACAATCACATAAGGGAATTTCTTGTAATCTCTTAGTAAGTACATAACCTAAAGATTTTCTGCTTGAGAATGAAGCTGTTCTCATTTTTGTATCATACAGAAAAATCAAACTCAAAATGGATTAAAAACATAAATATAAGAGAGAAGTCCTTGGGAGGTGGATTAGGCAATGGCTTCTTAGATATGGTAACAACAGCAAGAGAAGAAAAAAGGTAAGGTGTACTTAAATAAAATCCAAAACTTCTGTGCTTCAAAGAATGCCATCAGGAATGCACAAAATGGGAGACTATTTGGAAATATGCCTGATCACAGACTTGTATTTACAGTATATAAAAAGAACTCATGCTCCAGCACTTGGAAGACTGAGGCAGGAGAACTGCGAGTTCAAGCCCAGCTTGAACAACATAGTGAGACCCTGTCTCAAAAAACAAAAAAAAAGTGAACTCATACAATTCAGTACTAAAAAAACAAACAGCATCATTTAAAAGAGGGCAAAGGATCTGAATAAACATTTTTCAAAGAAAACATACAAGGGCCAATACCCACTTTAAAAAATAAAAGTTCAATCAACATCATTAGCCACCAGAGAAATGCCAATCAAACTACAAGATACACATGGTGGCTAGAGTCAAAATGACAGAAATAACAAGTGCTGAAGAAGATGTGGGGAAATCAAAACTTTCATATATCAGGGGTTAGAATGTAAAATTGGCTGTTCTGGAAAATACTGAAAAAATACTATTTTGGAAAAAATGGTCTGGCTATTTTTCAAAACAGTTTAGATAAAAGTTAACCTAAGGCCCATTAATTCCACTCATAACTACCTAGTCAAAAGGAATAAATACATGTCCACATAAAAGCTTGAACATGAATGTATACAGCAGCATTACAACACCAAAAGAGGAACAATGTCAAAACAAATGCCTTTGATTGATGAATGGATAAGCAAAATGTGGCATGTAACTATATAATGAAATATTATTTGGTAATAAAAGAATAAAATATTGACACATGCTTCAACATAGATGAAGTGTGAAAATATTCTAAGTAAAAGAAATTAGCCATAAACCACATATTATATAATTCTATTTGTGCAAAATCTCCAGAATAGGCAACTCTATAGTGACAGAACATCAACTAGTGGTTGCTGAGGAACAGAGGGTTTGGAGGGTAAGGGAGAATGATTGCTAATGAGTACGAAGGTCCCTTGGGTAGTGATGACAATGTAAAATTGACTGTGCTGATGATGGTACAACTTGGTAAATATCCTAAAAACCATTTAATTATACATATTAAGTGAGTTCACTGTATGGTACGTTAATATCTCAATAAAGCTGTGAAAATAAATAATCAAACATTGTATTAGTTTTTAACGCTTCAATATTCTATGTTACATAGTATTGATTCAGATTTTTAACAAATATCCATTAATTAATTAAGTCAATTTAGCATCAGCCCAAGGTATTGGCTTATATACTCCAAAACATAATTACAGTTGATATTAAGGGCTACAATAATGACTCCATTTAAATGCAAATTTACATTTTTCATAATATTATATAAACATATCCAACTAGAATAAAATGCATGTTTATATTATACTCAATGCTTAACTCAAAAGATATAGCTGCTTTATTAAACCAAAAATATAAACTAGTCTTCAACCAGGAGTAAAAGAGAGCATAGAACATACTAGTACAGCAAGCCCAGAAAACAGACTAAAAGGACAAAAATATTCAAGAAACATGTACATCAGTTTTGTGGGAACAGCTGGTCTGTGTGTCCTGAAGAAGGGCCTAAATGGGAGGCTCATGAGCACATTCTTCCATCTACTAATAATAGAGGCACTTTCTGAGCAGGAAATGATGCCTCCTAATCCTTGTGACAGGTAAAGCAGATGTAACAACTCTCTTCCCATATCCGTTCTTAGAATCAGTTTTAACAAAACACTCACCGGAAATAGCAGCTTCAGAAAGCAATTTAAGGACCTCGTTTTCCATTTCACTACTGTTACACAGCTCTTCCCAAGTCCCTTTAAGTCCTTTCTTTTGAGCTAGTTCTGTTAGTTCCTTTTGATTTGGCACAACAAATCCAATGACATAAGAATGATAACTGAAATATATGAAGGATAACTTAGCTAAAAAACAAAATAGTATACCATATTAACTAAAGTTACTAAACTAACCTTGACATTTTGTAACTAACTCTTTAGCATTTAAAAAAAAACCCATGTGCCATACTTGGTACTGGCATACTTACCTCACACAGCAGCCAGTGTTACTGCTGAATCACAATACATTTCAGGGTTTTAGCACTGTTTATTGCTAAATACATGTCAGTTTGTCATTTACTGATAAAAACAAGTATAACTATTGTAATAGTGACATGTACACATTTTTAAAAGAAAATTACAAACATTAAAATATTCATCTTTAAAAAATCAGTAATTCATGGCAACAAGATTACCAAAAATAAATATAAATTTGATTTATATTAGATGTAAAGAAATGTGGCAGTACATCAAAATAGTGATTACGTTCATTTTCTTTTGTTATCATGAGACTGTAGACAGAAGAACTCTGAATATGCCCAGAGGCAGATCCTACCTTGAAGGCTATAAAACAGTAACCTGAAAAAATAGGACAAACCCTAGTTATCACATTCCAGATCTGTGGCACTGCTAAAACAAAACAACAACAAAAAAAAAACAACAACACTAAAGGCTAATTAAAAGGCAGAATCATTTATAAACCAATGTATAGGCTGCTCAATGGTAAAGACTGTGCGTGTATTCCAGAATCCAAAGAACTCCAAAATCTGAGATACTTCTTGCCCCAAGCATTTCAGATAAGGGGTATTCAACTGAAGTTCTTGTATAACTCGGGCTGCAGCCCAAATTCTACTGTGAAATTGATTTTTCTAAAACCTAATTTTATTTTCCCATAATAATATGGGAATTATGTCAATCTCTATAGACAGGTTCCTAGACTTCCCCATAAAACACAAAATCATTATTAATGAATAGTGACCACATATACTACTGCAATGCAAAATGTAATCAGCATTCTAATCTGAGCTTCAAGTGGGCCCCTCGTACCGCTGCCCAGAGTCCTAAACAGGCTCAAGCTGAAGGTAAGAGGGTAAGAAGAGAACAGTGAACTGCTCACTGACACTTCTTTACTCCTCCTTTCCTCTAGACTGGTTCTCTGAAGCTTCCCTGTGCCAAGTGACAGGTACTCAGGAGTACCAAAGCAGCTGGGAGAAGGATTTTTTCTTATGTAACTCTCTACCACATAGGACACTACAGAAAGATGTAAAACAGCGAACAGAAACAGAAGAAGAAGGGAAATATCAGAAAGATGAGCTAATGGCTGTAGGGAGAAGGAAGCCATTCTTAGAAATCACAGAGAAGGAAGAAGAGTTCTTAGAATAATTTCACAGAGGCCCAAATAGGTTGGAAATGTTTATGGCATACCCAGTGTTTTAAGTACAAGCAACGTGAATTCCACTTTCTTACCTGTTTGCATATGCACAAATGTTATCTATCAGAGGGAGATTCTTCAAAGCTGCCTCTACTTTCCCAAGAGAAACATATTCTCCTGCCTGTAGTTTTACAAGATCCTTTTTTCGATCTATGCAAAACAAGCAAAAGCAGGGAGGGAGAAACACAGAGAATATTAATAACATCTTTAATGCATATAAAAGTATTTATATGTTCTCTAAGAGACAGGGTCTCATTATATAGGCTCAGAGTGTCTTCAAGCTCACAATCCTTCTGTCTCAGCCTCCCATATGCTGGGATATAGTTGTGCACAAGGCTAGAAACATCTTTTTAAAAGAAAAACAATTTAAGGGAAGGCATCACTGGGCTTCAGCTATATACTTCTGAACAGGTATGTTGCTGGTATGCATTGATACCATGTAGGTGAGGAAGATGCAGGTTACCATTAAGAAGCTCACAATCTATCTGGAGAGAAGCGTGACACAGAAAACACAGCTACTTTAACACAATACACTAGTGCTAAGTGTTGAGATTCTCCACACTGGTGAAATGGCTCAAGTGGTAAAGCGCCTGCTTAAGCCCTGAGTTCAAACCCCAGTACCATCAAAAAAAAAAAAAAAAAAAAAAGTCACTAGGCATCAGTGGCTCACGCCTAGCTACTCAGGAGGACTGTGGTTCAAGGCCAACCCAGACAAATAGTTTGAGACACTCTATCTCAAAAATACCTATCACAAAAAGGGGCTGGTAGAGTGGTTCAAGTGGTAAAGCAACTGTGTAGCAAGCAGGAGGCCCCGAGTTCAAACCCAGTATTACCAAAAACAAACAAACAAGACTCTCTAACCTCTACATTTTGGGGAAAAAAATTCCTACAAGTACAGCCTGAGCTAAATTTTAGGGAAAAGTGACAGGTAACCAAGTGGAACAATGCTGGCAACAGCCAGAAGTGTGTCAGCTTCCAAGGCATCTAGTTAGCATGACGACACTAAAGCTGCCATTAACTGAAAAAGACACTGAGAGCCACCACCAAAGGTATTTTTCACCTGGTAATAGTCCCAGTGCTTGAGCTAGCAGTCTTTCCTGTTTTCCTGGGCAAGGAAACAGAACAAGACATCCCTACCCACTAACCTATATATGTCATAGAATTCACAAAACAATTGCTCCCTATATAAGCAGGAAAGAATGACTATGGCTATTTCATAGTAATTAAAAATACCACTGCTGCTGAACAGCTTTTGAGATCTCATAATATGTAGAGCCTTATAATGCCTGAGTCCCCATTATATATTCCAAGGATGATACAGCAGTCTCTAAACACATGGTATCTCTTGCATAAAACCACCAGAGAAATGTTTACTTTCAAGAAAAGATTCAATAGCTCACCAATAATCTTCAAACAACCATCAGGGTCAAACTCTCCGATATCTCCAGTACACAGCCACCTCTGCCCATTTTCATCTTCAAAGAAATCAGCTTTTGTTTTTGCTTCATTTTTGTAGTATCCCATTGTCACATTTTGGCCACCAATAAGAATTTCACCTCGGGGATGTGGTTTATCGGTATTAAAGTACCCACCTAATAAACACAGAATAATTTAGAGCTAATTCACTATCTTTATTCCTACGTTTATCACATGAAAATCCAGAAATTTCAATTTGAGTTTCCCAAAGGAAACAAGGCAGCCACTATGGTTGAAAAAAGTGTATCAAAAACGAAGTGTAAAAGTTCACTTGCTTAACCATAAGCATTTATAACTTTCATGATACTGCAATTCTTACTTTATGTAATACATATGCAAAATAAAAACAATTCTATTTCTTCAGAATTATTTTTGAAACACGCAAAATAAGTACACCTGTGTAGTTTCAGAGAAAATATAGGTTTTTTAATGAAAATGAGCACTTGGTGATTTTATACTCTAAACTAAGAAAGGAAATAAATCAAACACATTTCTAATTTTAAAGTTTAATCTTACATAATAATTAATGCTGTGTGGTTAAAAAAAAAATTATTACCTTCCTCCCAGTTCTTTAATTTGATTTCACAGCAAACTAATGGTGCTCCCACTCTACCAGTATTGTAGTCCCACACTAAGATGCAAAAGGAAGAAAATATATTTGAGAACAGTAGTCAATAAAGTGCTTCATTCTTCTAAATTATTTTAAATGATGATTCATCACAAAGCTTACATACCCCCAGAGAATCATTAAAAATAGAAGTTGCAAACCGCAAACCAGAGGCGGTGTGACCTGCTCTGGCATACTGCTTAGTCCACAGTTTATTTATGTGGTGCTGGACAATGAACCCAGGGTCTTGTGTACCCTAGGCAAAATCTCTTACCACTGAGCTACATCCCCAACCACCACAGTGTTTTATGTTTTTTTCTTCTTTAAAAACAAAACAAAACAAAAACCTGAATTAGTGCCATTTAAAAAAAATCAAGAAATTTTTCATGTAAGTTTGGAAGCTACAGCAACTGACAAGTCCCTGTTAGATGGAAGCACATCTGCTCTAGCTTCCCCAGAATCCTTACTCATCACATTTTCTTACATCAGGGCCCACTTCACTCATTTCAGTGGCCACCCACTTTCTAAGTTTGTAGCCCTACCTTAAAGGATGATGTGACACAACCGCTTACACCTATTCTACTTTTTTATTAAGCCTCACAGCACTGCAGTACCAACCTTCTCAATCTTCCCCCATGTACCACTACCTCAAAGTGAGGCTGCTGTAGTCTCCTCATATCGGCTTCTGCTATCATACCCTATTGAAAATTCATACAGTTATAGCTCAGAGCCAAGCTAGAGAGTAAGGCCGATAGCTACCAACGTCTAGGAAAAGAACCCCCACAATTAATGAATTATGTTTCCTCTTCAAAGATCTTTCAAATCAAAGGCTAATATTTAACAGTTTAATCAACTTGCTGATTAATCACACTATCAGTTTGAATCTTAAAAATAAGAAATTAAGAATCTGTAGAAGATAGAAACCATGTATGCATGCATTTATGATTGCTTATTTATTTCCAGTACATAGGATTTATAAGTACCTTCCAAAAACGTACAAAATACAGAGAACATACTAAAAAAGCAGGAAGATAAAATTAATAATGCAAAATAAACCTGACATAAGAATGATATACAGAAGCACTTGAGATATAACCAGGGGAAAATGTTCAGTGTATCTATCAGTATCTACAAAATACACAGTAGTACTGGGAAGCAAAACAACTCTCTTCTATGAAAGGGATACCTGGGGCACAACAAAATTAACCTGGAAACCACTGGTTAGGTAGTGGCTCCCACCCCCACCCCACCATGATAAATTCTTGGCAATTATATTGTAGAGACCTGAATCTAGTTTTTCTCCATACTTATGTACACCCATAAACATTTCTGAATCTGAGTCTTCATACCTAAATAACTAGAAAAAATCTTTATTTTTTCTACATAAAACAAAATATCATAACTGATATGAGAAAATAAATGTATACAATGTTTGTAACTAAAGCATCTTTTCCAGTTTTTAATATTACATCACAGTTTAACATGGAAAACTCTTCTAGATGAATACTGACTGTTGATGTACATTACACGTTCTATAAATCAACTGTCAATAATCACAGAAACTGGAATTTTCCACTATTCTGCCACTCTTCTCCGATATATTTTAGACAATAACTCAGGCAAAATGCCCAGAGCTGTGTCCAGCCTGATGAACACTCAGAGGACATGTCAAGGACAACACTAACCTTCTGTAATTGTTCCAGCTCCAGTTGACTCAGTGAGTCCATATCCTTGACCAACAGGACAGCAAAAACAGATATTCATGAATCTCTGTGTGGCTGCAGACAGCGGAGCACCACCACACAATAAAAGACGGGTATTTCCACCTAGCAAGCTTCGAACTTTCCGGAAAACAAAGCTAAAAAAAAATTAATCAGAATCATAGAATTTTCAAGGTGAGTGGGATTTTCCAAATCTTAAAACTAATCACATTTTTGTTACATGAGATTTTGAGATTAAGTTTGTCAAAACACGTGACCCACTACTTAAATCTTTCAGTAGTTCAACCGGGTAAAGATATGATTTCCTCTTAAGAACATTTCAAGTAATATTTGAATATTTTAAGTAAATTAAAATTGTCAGATTTAGTTAATAGCAATAAAATCCCTTGTTTATGACCCAAGAACTTATTTTATAAAATAAACACATACTATATATATACATATATATACATACCATAATATATGCAATATATATATATATACTATATATTTTGTTAATACTGAAAATCTTATATCTTTATAAAATTTATTAAAACAAATGAATTTTTTGCTTTAGCTTATTTCATCAGAAATATACACATATTTGTATAGAGTAATCTAACTTTACCTGTCACACAGTGGGGTACTTTTCCCTTTTGAAATCTGTTCCATTTTATAATTATAGGCAAGAATAAACAGATTCCGCTGAAAACTACTCATTTCATTCACTTTATTCATGACATTCTTGTAGATCCGATCCATGATTTCCTAGATATATAAAAATGATTTTATTAATTATATCAGCTGCCTTATGTATTTAAATCTTAATATCTGATATTTCTACCAATATCAAAGCATTTTAAAAGACACATTCTATGAGGACCAGAGTTTTTAAATAGAGCCACAATCAGTTTAAAAATGACATTTCTGCAAAAATAATTTTAATAGCAAAAATATATCATTACTGTGATTTATACTTTAATGAAAAAATATTTATCCCCTTACAAGTTAAGTTATATGAATTTCTAAGTGAACTACAAATTTAAAAGTAGGACACTACACTTCAGAAATTGTAATTATACTTAAAGAAATTTCAAGACAACCATCCATTTACACTTGACTTTGGAATACCTATCTAACCATCTGAATGTGAGCATTCAACCGTCTGACAATAATTCCCAACATCTTGAGACACAAGCAGAAATTAAACTCCATATGAAGAAGAGTGGGAAAACCACTGCTGTCCCATTTCCATTATTGTATCCCAGGTGCCCTTCTTTTTTCATATTATATTAGGATGCACAGTGCTTCTGTCTTTCTTTCTCTCTTTTTTTTGGTTGCCTAGGCCAGACTTTTTCTAAGGACACAGGAGGTAATTATACAACTGGTACAGAAGGAAGTAATCTCAAACCTTCCCTTTTATGGGCTTCAAGTATCTCAGAAATCAACAAAATATCATGAAAACGATTTTAAGAAGCTGTTTAGAGAAAGGAGCTAATAATATAAGATATAAGCTGAAATTAAGTTGAGTGTTCAATGTAAGAAAATATAAAGCAAAATAAATCTCATACAGCTATGGAAATATTGATAACCCTACATAAGCCGCCTTGTCAACTGTGGGTGGTGATACTTTAGAACTCAACATTAAAAGGTCAATTCTTACCGGAACAGCTGCCATCAGTGTTGGTTTCAACATGGATGTATCCCCTTTGCTTCCTTTTTTTATTTTTGAAGACTAAAATAGAAAAAGTGATCCATATAAACTGATTCTGATTTTTAAAACTCATGGAATTCTTAGGGCACAAAGGCATATTGTCAATTCTCATTTTAATGTACTTACATTCTAAAAAATACAAGGTGAAGAGCTTACTTTTAAATGATCAACTATCATCCTTATAATATACTGTCATACTGACAGGAAGAAAAATGTTAAGAATAATTCTTTTAGTATTTCAAGTGGAAGACGTTTAATTTACCTGATCCGCTAAAGTCTGTGGTGAAGAGTAGCCAATGCGGCATCCATGAGAAAGACAAACAAGCTCAGCACTCAACTCTAGAACGTGGGCCAGGGGCAGGTAGCCAATGTATACATCTTCCTCACTGAAAGAAAACAGATGGAAGAGGCAAAAGTGAATCATCTTAAGTGAAATTAGCCAGGTTCAGAAAGCTGAAGGCTGCACGTTCTCTCTTGTACGTGGACTATAGGCCCAATACAAATATAGCAATATTATGAAAAACAGGCCATGCTAATGACCAGGAATGAGGGTAGGGGGGATAAAGGAGAACGATGGAGGGAATGAATTCAACTATGATATACTGTAAGAACTTCTGCAAATGTCACAATGTAGCCCAGTACAACAAAAAGAAAAAAAGTAAATAAAACTGAAAAAAGCAGCAGCAGCAAAGATGAGGTGTGCTCTCCGCCTAAAGTGACTATAATATGAGCAAGCTTAAAAGTTCATGAAAGGGCCCTGGGGCATCAACTTGGGCTTCCTGCTGATAGGATATAGAAAGGCACAGACAAGGAGACAAAAACACTGGTAATGTTTAGAAAAAAGAACCTTAGCTAAAACTGAGGAGGTGGGGCACTCACCAATGAGTGCTGTAGAAGCAAAGAGCTAACGGAAAAAAAAAAAAAAAAAAGAGGGATGTGGGGGAAGGGTTTGAAGGACAGAAGAAATCATCAAGAAGATGGTCTCTGAACCCACAGGTGTCTGCCAGGACTTTTATAAAAAAGAGACACCTGTGCTGGGATTTTGATTAAATTATTAATAATAAATTATATTGTAATATATAATATAAATATACACACACAGGTAAATTTTTCAAGAACTGACCCAATCCCAACTTCAATCCTACATTAACTATCTCTGTATGTGCAATTTCTGAGTATAAAAGTACCAAAATCATCCAACCACTGCCCCAAATTTCATCACAATACTGATTCCATCCCTGGAAGTTTCCCCGATAATCCCCCAAACTCCATCTGGGTTCCTCCATAGTATTCTCTATTCCTTCATATCCACTCCTCCCCACCACCACTGGAATCTGCCTTTAAAACCTAAATCTGAGACTATGGATACATAACCTGTTCACTTGAACTGGATTTATATATAAAATTACTTTATGTGTAAGGCAATAATACCAAATAATTAAATAATTAAAGGAATTTACAACTATAAAGTCAGTTAATCGACTTTTTTTTGGTACTGGGGTTTTAACTCAGGGCTTCAGTTTGCTAGGCAGGCACTCTACCATTTGAGCCACTCTGCCACCCCTGTTCTGTGCTGGGTATTTTCGAGATAGAGTCCCCACAACTATTTGCCCAAAGCTGGCTTTGAACTGTGATCCTCCTGATCTCTGCCTCCTAAGTAGCTAGGAATTAGAGACATAAGCCACTAGTGCCTGGCCAGACTTACGTTTTTGAAAAAGTAAATACCCCTAAACTATTTTAAACCTCACAATTATTACTACTTTGTAATTAATTTTAACATTCTTTTTTATTTTAAAGAAGTGTCCACTGTAAACAGACTCTGAAGGGAGTAATTAAACCATATACTACTAAAATGACACTAATAAAGTTAATATTGTAACAACAGGCATTAACATTGAACTAGTCTGTTATTTCACTAGACATACCCCAGTTTTGGAATCCTTCTCGCCATTCCTGTTATACCAGCAATGATGTTACTGTGTGAGATCATGACTCCCTTTGGAAGTCCTGTAGATCCGCTTGTGTACATGATTACTGCAATATCTGAGGGCAGTGGTTTGCTATGAGGTTTGCTTTCTGTATTAAAGAAAAGAAAAAATATATACATTTCTGAGAAATTCAGCCACATCATCAATTTTTTTCATAATCATTTCATAATAAAACTCAAACAAAATACTCATACAGTGGTGGACATGAAAGCAATATAAATCCTATTGGAACAAACAGATAAGCACATAATGTATTAGGAGCTATGAAGAAAAATAAAGACAATGTGACAAGATGATAGTAGCAGATAGTAGATGCTACTACTGAGATGGAGAAGTTAGGGAAAGCCTCTCTGAAGAGTAATTTTACCAAAGACTTGAATAAAATGAAGAAGGGGGCCACAAAAGTCCTGTAATTGGGAGGAGAATATTCCAAATGTAAGTAAATAAGCCAAGTTCAAAGATCCTAAGTTATGAATATGTTTGGCATATGTAAAAACATCAAGGAGGCCGGGTGCAGTGGCTTAAGTCTGTAATCCTAGCTACTCAGGAGGCAGAGATCAGGAGGATGGCAATCTGAGGCCAGCTTGGACAAAAAGTGCACAAGACCCATTGCCTTGTGGCACACACCTGTCATCCCAACTATGCTAGAAAGTACACAGAGAAGGTCTGCAATCCAGGCCAGCCTGTGCAAAAAGCAAGACCTTATCTCATAAATAATGCAAAAAGCCTGGTGGCATGGCTCAAGTGCTTGCCTAGCAAACATGAAGTCTCGAGTCCTGAGTTCAACCCCAAGTACCACAAAAAAAAAAAAAAAAAAACAAGGAATATGGAGAGTCTAGAGTGAAAAAGAGAAGAGTAACAGGAAATGATGATGAAGTAGCAGCCACGATTACATTTTCATGATCTCAAAGACCATGCCTTGGATTTTATTACTCTGGGATGGAAAGCAAGGTTGTTTTGAACAGAGGCATGTCACCAACTGTGACAAGGATAACTTTGCCTGATGTATGGCTACCTAAGCTAACTTTAGAAAGAGAGGATAGGAATTAGAGAAGCAAAAAGCTATTCTAGTAATTCAACTAAAAATTTAAAAAGGCTTAGACTAGTGTACCTAGAAACTTGCTAAAAGATGTCTCTGTTTCACAATGCTAACATTCTCTTGTTACTCTCAGAGTCTTGGAATACAAGATAGTGTCACCCACTGGCAGTCACAACACTACAAGCTGAAGGTCAGCAGCCAAAATGCTGCAGATGTGGGACAGCAGAAAGACAAAGAAAAGTCACCATTGGTCTGCTTGAAGCAACTACCCTACATGTGGACTGCTAAGAAAAAAGTTTTTAAATCTGTTTCCAAGAAAATACAGCTTTTCTCTCCTCCCCATCCAGAGAGACTTCTTGAAAATGGACAATACCACGTGTCTTCTTCCTTCCCCTGTGACTAGTCCTCAATGACCTTTAGGGACTAGTCCTCAATGACCTTTAGGGCCACCTTTGCCTCCTCTACAGAGTTACCATGAAATCCTAACTTCTGGGATTCAGGAACAGACATGCTCATGCCACTGCCCATTAGATATCAACATTTGAATGTCCTACCATCAACTAAAATTCAACATGCTCAAAATTAATGCCATACACTTACACCAGCAACGTCAGCATAACCTGTACCTAAGCAGAGCGAGCATCTACATCTAATTAATTAACTTCTAAGTTTCTAACTACACAGGAAATATAGTCAAGCATCCCAGAAGCTTTTGTAACATCCCCAAACACTTATATACTGTCTAACATCTTATGACGCTTATCTGACAGTCATAACTTCTAGGTTCATCAGGCCTAGATATGCTAGTTGGAGGATAAGAAGTTTTCTCCTCTAGAAAGGCAAATAGATGGAGGACGGAAAGTAAAAGGAGGTGTTTAACCACTCTGTTGATACGGTAATTCACATGAGTAAATCTAACGGCATTACCTGTAAAGCTAACTTTAAACTCTCCAAAGCGATCAAAAAAAGTGAATGATGTAAAAGCAGTATAATTTCGAACAAACACTACTTTTAATAAATTAATGCTGATACTTTTCTTTAGGCCTTTCTTTAATTTAAAGGCCTAAATATACCTAAATATTTAAGAATATTCCTAGAAGAATGTACTTCCAACTGACAGTTAGAAAACTGATACGTCATTTGATCTAACTGCAGGATCAAATCCTGGAATAACTCTGGAGAACATGGTGAATGGAGAATGCTGATAAGGAAGGAGGAAAATGTGACATACCCATGGTGGCCTTTGCTCCTAGGGCCTGCACTGCAGCCATGGTGTGTACAATGACACCCTTGGGGAACTCAGACCACGTTGGTGGCTTCCCATCCACTGTGATGATGTGTCGCAGACGTGGGACCAAAGAAACTATGTCCTGGAGAGACACAAACACTCTTCATGCTCCTCCTCCTTCAAACAGTCCAGATGACAAGGATAATTCATCACATTCGGTACCTTATTAAAGTAATTTCTTGCCTCAAAACATCAAGAGGACAGGAAGCACTGGCATAAAGAGCAAATGTTGGTCCTTTTTTTTGCGAGGGAAAAATACTGGTCTGAGTTTAGCTTGCTACTTCATAGCAATAGACATACTGGGGCTACTTCCTGTTCTTTCGTAAAACTCTTATCAACAAAGTTAATGCTTTACAAAATGGACACATTAACCTAGATCACCCAAACTACAGGAAGCCTAAAAACCCTCATGGTTTTAAGAGACTAAACAGAACATAAAGAGAGAGTGAAGGGAATTCACTTGTAAACTTACAATTAAAAAAAAAAAAAAAAAAGGAAAAGGAGGAAGAAGAGGAGGAGGAAGAAGGAGAAAAAGAATGCCTCAGATATTATGTTTAGAGGAACTTACCTAGAAGTTAAGAAATACTTTTTTCCTATATTTTCATGAAATGTCCCCCATTTTAGCATTTAAGATATTCTGCAAAATCATCATTATGCAGTGATTCAGATATAAGTAAATTACTACTTTAAAACATAGTCATTCAAAATTATTAATTTATTTAAAATAATGTAGAAAATAGTTGAGCACAGAAAAAACTTGTAATCCCTTCAATTTAGACACAGGCATATTAACAATGTGTAAAGTTGGTCTATCTCAGTATGAATATATATGAAATCCACTTTTTGTGTCTAAAGACAAAGAATAAACTATGATTATCCCTACAAGCTTGCAAAGATATTAGAGATTTGAAAGATCCTAAAAGAACCAAGGATCAGTAATAAGGCTCATCACAGTATAAATTCTAAAGCATCAGGCACTTGTAATCCTCACCTTCAACTTTGATTGTAAGAGTTCTTTACTAGTAATGATGCTGGTCACCTCTGTTTCATTCAGTCCATGAACAATGGCTGGACCACCTAGGGTAGCATATAATGTGACAACTACAAGGAAAAGAGGAGTAAGTCATATACTCAACACTTCAGGAACTACTCAGGTAAAACATGAACAACACCTCAACATGCAAAAATGCATGTGAATCATAAAGGAGCATTCTCAATACTAAATCATTATAGATACAGTCTATAAGGTATTGTGGTTTGTTAAATGATTTTAATACACTACTCTAGATTACACCAGCTCACCCTCCCTAAGTTTCTCAAGATTTCCAGTTAAGATGAAAATTAAAAAATTCTTATTTTGTTTCGCCTACAGATGTTCTCTGAAACTGATACAATGGAAAGAAATTACAACTTATTTCTAAAATTTCCAAATCTTAATTGTTCACTACTTGGTACTAAAATGTGAAAAAGAATATAAACAGTAAGACAAAACACTGAATGTTAGAATTAAATTATTATCTATCAAGAAAATAGCATAAACAAGTGATAGCACTGCTTATTCTAAAGGAGAAAAATCTAAATGTCAAAACTATATAATAGCTATAAATAATAGCATCAATTTTTATTTACTTTCTGCTAAACTGAAAAAGGTTAGACATAAAATGACTTTGAAAATGTAATTCTTTTAAAGCTTCTCAAAAGAAACATAAGTTAAATCCAAACCTGTGAAAATAAAAAAGCAAAGCTTATTTTTCCCCCAGCAGAGAACATGAATGCAGTCCCCACTATCACAAGCTATACAGTCCAATTTCCCACATCTGGGGAAATCAGCAGGGATCAGCACATCCGGAGTGCAATGAATGAGCCTCACTCCGGGAAAACCATCTTCGTGATCATTGTATCTCCCCTGCCAGGTAAGTATAAAGTTTATTTTTAAAAGTTGAGGAATTAACCACATGAAATCTGGTGACAGTATCTTTTCCATTTTATCTGAAGAATGAGACAACATCTCTACACTTTCAGTGACATTTTGGCACCAAGACCTCTGAACTAAGCTTCTATCTCACAGGCTGAACCATCACAATTGCCACTCAAATAACCAGAACACCACCATCTTGTAACCTAGTACTTTGAAGTTCTCCCAGGTTCTAGCAGGGAACCTGTTTATAGGTCACCTGTTCATACTGACAAACTGATACTGACAAAATGACAGTAACTTCAAAATGAAACTGAGAGTTGGTAGCAAGTGTAGACAGAGTTCAACAAATCCCAGAAGTCCCTATTAGTAGGTTCACATCCCCTTACTACATTTGGCTGGTATAATTTGTTCCACAAATAGTTTCTTTTCCAAAACAGACCAAAAACTGCAAGGCCTAACCAAGAGTTCTCCACTAATTGAATGCAAGGTGAAAATTAGTATCAGAATGTGTAATATCAGAATTGTTTAAGAAAGTATCATCTCTCCCAAATGACATTAAGTCCACTCTTCCAGAAGATAAGGAAGCCCACATACGCTGAAAGTTATACATAAAGCACGCCTGCGCAGCAATCATCCACTCAGCCCTGGTCTCACAGAAGATGGCAATGTTGGTCTTTGGTTTCTGGCCCAACATCTGTAAGCCATTGCCAAAATTAAAGGCTCGAACGAAGACATCTTCATAAGAGAGCCAATTATAGTTTCCAAGAATAACCTGATAAAATAAAACATAAAAAATACAAATACCTTTTAATACAACCGAAGTATTAATTTCTAGAAAGTAATCAGAATGTGCCCCAAACTTTATAATAAACCAGAAAGTTACATATGCGTAACGTTTTTCCCAATAAATGCTAGAAAATAAGTTTCAAGTGAAAAGTCTATTTTAAAAATTAGTTTTGTGATATTTCTATGACAACTTAACTCTTGTACTAAATCTTTAAAATAGGGGGCTTTATTTTTGGTTTTTAAAAATATTCAGAGTTTAGCCAAGCATGGTGAAACATGCCTATAATTCCAGCACTTGGGAGGCTGAGACAGAAGGATCCGGAGTTTGAGGCTGATTTAGTGGGAGAGATAATCAGCAAGAGGGACAGAAGGAAGGGAGGGAAGGAAGGGAGGGAAGGGAAGGAGGGAGGGATGAGTTCAGAGTTTGATAGGTTCTAAAAAGTCAACTGTCTGGCCAAATTTATAATTAATTATAAATTTTCTTTACTTAAATGATTTAAGGGTTGACTTAAAATTTAGTCTGGTACTAAGCACTACTGATGCCAAAATTTCACCTTCCCTCTACTTAGGAATTTCTAGATTTCAGTACAAGACGGCATACTATTATTTATAAATAAAAATTGGCCCTACTACCCAAGCTCATAAAAATATTTATGGCTATCCAATTTGAATTGCTATATCTAAATCTGAATAAGCAAACAGTCTCTGCTTATGCATCAAAGTCCCATGTAAAGACTTAAATGCTCACTGGTAATCCCACAGTATTAACATTTTCTTTGTGTTTATCAGCAGGGAAGGTAACATCAAGTTTGCATTAGTAATAACCTCCTTTTAAAGCTGTTAACATTTTCATATTTAGGAATTTTCTTCAACTTAAATGGAACCATACATTTTCTATTACATTTAAAAAATATATAGTTCTCAAATACAGCTGTGTCGTTAGTATGTCTCAAACACCTTGAAATCATCTGACCAGAGCCTGATGTGGTAGTGAACACCTGTAATTCCAGAACAAAGGAAAGTAAAGCAGGAGAGTCATGAGTTTGAAGCCAGTCTGGGCTATATAGTGAGACCCTACCTTAAAAAACAAGTAAACAAATAAGTCAATCACCTGACCATATTCATTTCTGAAAATGCAAACAACATTCCACAGATTGTTAGAAGAGGTTGAGTATAAAAATGGAGAAAGATAAATGCTGCCCTCTAGTGTCATAATCAATAAGAGGTTTAAGAAATAAATTTTTATTTGGATGGATAACGCAACACTAGATAACACTTATTTAATGGTTGTGGTCCCAAACTCTCACCTTGATCTGCACCCCCACAAAATACTCGGCACTGGGAGCCCCAATTACTTCAAAAGGAGCTCTGTGGGGATGAGAATACAGGTGAGAATTTGGCCAAAGTGTGCAGGAACTGGATTTCAATTATTAAGAACTGTATACTTCAAAGATCAGAATGAGATACCATCAACATTCTAGAAGCTAAATGATAGGCTTTATAAATTTCAAAACATATACATGTTCTAAAAAAGCATTCGATATCTATTCCAAATATGTAACTGTCATGATGATGTCATCATGTGGTAAAGAAATCAAATCACAGCTTTAATTCAAGTGTAAGGTTTCCTCAGATGTAGAAAACAAAACAGAAGATAAAATCTGAATTTCATTAATGCTTTAAACTACCAGGTCTTCTAGTAATTATCTTTCTCATGAAGATTACATTTTGAGGGCCCTATTCATCACATAATTTTATCTGACTCATACTGCATACTACTAAAATTTCTAATCCTAACTTTTCCCTATGGTCAGTTCAACCTAAGATTAAACTCATTAATTTAGTCTCTGCCCATATAATTAAACACTGCTACAGATAAACACCCAACCTTATTAAATCCAGCACCACAGATTTCACCATCCCACAATCTTATGATACTTCTCTAGTATATTCATTTTCTCATCCTGTGAAGTTGCTTTAAAACCTCCCCTCACTTAAATACCCTCTCTTCTCCAGTTCTAGGTGATCATCTTGCCTCATACTTCATTGAGGGTAAGAGATTAAACAGGAACTCCCTTATTTTCCTACCATGAAGTTTAATAACCTACATACATTTGCACTCATATTCTGTAGTTCACAAGATTGAGAGTCCCTGACAAAAGTCAGACTCCCAAGGACTTTACTTCAAAAAGTTTCCTAGGTTTACATCTCCAGTTCTGACCATCTGTATATCCTGTCTTTACCTGATTGTTCAACAAAGATGTCTAACAGACACATTGAACTTAGTAAGCTCCAAATGAAGTCACTTCCCCATTTCACAGACATATTCTGTCTTTCCAGTAGCATTGAGTCCAGAAACTTTACCCTGGCTTAGCAAGTCCTAAGAGACTAGAATCTGAAAGCCTCTCTCTTCTCTGGCTCACTTCCTGTAAATACCACCTCATTCTTTCTTCTCCTCAGGCAGGATAAACTAGAGCAAGACAACTTAAGAAGACCCTATTAGGGTCTAAATACCTTCAGTTGTGTGCCCTAAGCACTTTACTCACTCATTAACTCACTTGCTCCTGTTTCAGAGCTGCTACTCTGACCCACTGCCCAGAAAGTTCTTTACACATCTTTAAAAAACTGGTTCCTTTGTGTTCAGGTCTCAGCTTAACCTTAACCTGTTCAGACAGGCTTTCCTTGATTATCATCAGTTGGTTTCATTTCTTTATACTAGTTGTACCTGTTAACTTACTTAACATCTCTCTTCTGCCCGAGCAAACATAAGACCCACAAGAAGAGTAACCACTATGCCTCGTTCATTATTGCTAGAGGCACCTAGGAATAACTTTTTGAATATGTGGAACAGATAATATAATTAAGCACAAATTCAACTCACTTTAGCATGAAGAAATCTTCTCATCCCTTTCCCTAGTTCTAGCACTGTCAGTTTTTTAAAAACTGGTTTTAAAAAAAGTAGAAATAAGCTGGGTGCTGGTGGCTCATGCCTGTAATCCTAGTTACTCAGGAGGCAGAGATTAGGAGGACTGCAGTTCAAAGCCAGCCTGGGCAAACAGTTCACAAGATCCTATCTCGAAAAAACAGGTTCTGTGTCCTGACAGTGCCATTATTTGAATGAATATCTCCCAGTCTCAACAGTTTCCTTCTGATAAATGTAGGGAGGAAGTAATGAAGATTCCTAAGATCACTTTCCTCCCTCACACCTAATTGTACTTTTATCCTATGACAGGTGTGACACACACGTGTAAATATCAGTGTTATCATCCAGACTGCCCAGAATACAGGAACTTAGTCCTTCAATTTTTTTCAGAATATTAAAAATTAGATGCTTTTGATAATTTTCTTACCTCAAAAGCAAATTATAAAAATAAAATGCTGATGACAGAACAATTATAAAAGTGCATAAATAACCATACAGGATTCTAAATAAGGCAGTCTGATAAAGGTCAAGTTTCACATAGCTGAGTTAAATCTCTTTAAGTACTAGGACTTGTTTCTATTTAAAATAGAACATTTTCCTGTCTTTGTCAATAAACTGCCCCTAGCTCCATTTAAGCTTTCTCTCTGCACTTTGTTTATAAGGAAATAAATCAGACTCCTGGGTTTTTGGCTTGTGCAATTTGGTACATGATGTCCTTTAGCAAATAGGAAGTATGGAGAAGAACAAGTGTGGAAGGGATGCCAGGAGGAGAGTGACACAAGAGCCAAACCACAGATCCTGGCCAAAGCCTCATTACTTTTATTTAAGTTATGATGTAAATGCGCTACCAAGCCAGAAAGTCAGTATTATACACAAGCAAACAGAGTGAAAATGTGACTCTGGAGGAAGAGGCAACACAAAGGTGGCGTTGACAGAGAGAAAAAGAAAGCTGAGTCAACTCACAAGGACAAAAATGAGCATTTCGATTACCTTACAAGGTATGTATCAGTGAAACCTGTAGGCTCTATGATTACAGAATTCCTCTTACTCTAATATGTGTAAAACATGTACAAAAGATTAAAAGTATTTCTGATAGCTTAAAAAAGACATGGACCAGTTTTGTGCTCTTTTCTCTGATACTTCAGTTCTTTGCAATTGTGTTCTGTTTTAGGCACACACACTTTTTTTGGGGGGGGGGTAGAGTTGAACTCGACCTTGCACTTGATAGGTAAGCACACTAGCCATAGCTGCAGCCCTTTTTGCTCTATTTTGTTTTCTGGATAGTGTCTCACACTTTTGCCCATGCAGCCTCAAACTTCAATCAATCCACCTACCTCCACCTCCCAGGTAGCTGGGATTACAGGTGTGCACCACCTGCTTAACCCTTGTACACATGCATTTTAAAGTTGCTCTGAAATCCAATCACTTCCTGTTCTTCCATTTCATCAAGACACTGTTGCAATCAATTTGCTGCTGGGAAGGGTGGAATCAGGTGATACTAAGACAGATTCCAGTTGCTTTACTGTGCTATGGTTTTATAAAATTAAATGAAATTTGAAAGAATGAGATAGTAGTCCTAAAAAAGCTTGACAAGCCTCAAAAACATGGCAGCTTCTGCTCCATGTATCTCAGTTTATGCCACCCTGAGTCTCATCTTGGTGAAGCTGGTGGCCACTCTATCTTGGGCATAATTAGAGAAGAATCCTCACCACTGCCTTGTCTTCTGCTCACTGTCCCTAGGAATTCAAAAAGACTGTTAGAATAAAATGGAAACAAAGTTTTGAATTTAATTACCATGAAGGGGCTGGGGGCACAGGTCAGTATCTGAGCACTTGCCTAGTGCGTGCAAAGCCCTGGGTTTCACTCCAATACAAATCAAATCAATCACTAATTTGAAATAAGGTTTGTATAGCTTTGTTTCAAAGCATTCTTACACCCAAAAGTGTTACCTCTGAAAGCTGAAAGGAAACTTTTAGATATTGCTACATCATTAGCATTCTCTCCCAATTAAAGCTTATCTTCAAATATGGTGACTATCTTAATGAAGATTCTTCATCAAAACTGTCTTCTGACTTCCCTAATGTGCCTGATCAGTTGGTAGGCATTAAGATATGCCACCTAATACCCTATCATGAAAGATGCTGTTACTGCTACAATATAGTGGGTATAAATAAGAAACCAAGCAGGATGGGGTGGGAGCCTGGCTTGTTTAAAGTGCAGCTGACACCCATGCTCCCACTTGCAAACCACTGCCACAGTTCCCATACCAGCAGCAAGGCAGGCTTTCTTCTCCAGGAAGGCTAATAGAAAATGCCAGATTCATTTGTTCCACACAAAACTTTAAAATTAACTCCTTTCCAATAACATAATTCTAGACAAGAAAAATAGAATGCTTTTGTCAGAGTATGTATAGGGCTTCTGAACAAAGTTTGATGAACCAAAATGCCAATTTAATGGCAAATATTAATAGTAGGTAGATCTTCTGCTACATGGAACCTCAAAATTCTCCTAAACTGAATAAAACCTCATAATAATGTACTAAAGACAGAAAACGGTGCTGGCTAAAAATGGTCTCTCCTTCTCACTTTTTTCCTAGTATATAAACTTCATGCTTTGTGGAATATTGAATAAATACAAAGGTTCCAAGGTCAAGAGAGACAGGAAACGGCCACATGTGCTTAGGTAAGTAGGCAGGCAGACAAAAGCATGCAAGTACATGCACAATAAAAACTTCCCCTGTATCCCATCCTATCTCCTGTGTCCACCATATTAACTGACCACACTTAGAGAACAACAATGACAGCTCTAGATATTTATTTTGTCTTGATTACAATCATATGTAAATTAAGAACTTTCTCACTGGGAACATGTCTCAAGCAGCACAGCACCCACCTAGTGGGCATGAAGCTCTCAATTCAAACCCCAGCACCATCAATCAATTAATCAATAAAGGTTTCAAGTTCACTATACAAGCTTTTCTCCTTTCTACAAAATTGTGAACTAGTCTGCTGCCAGCCACATAAAACACATATTATATGTAGGGGAAAATGGAGAAAAATTAAGCTTCCTATAAAATAGGCATTCTGTCATATACACGTATATATATATGCTTAAAGTATAAAAGAGAACAATCTTTAAATTCAAATGGAATATGAGATCCAAACAGAAAAGTGAATTAATTTTCAAACATGAAAAGGCAGAAGAATAGAAAATTTTAGGATATAAAAACATAGGGTGGCTGGGTGAGTGGCTCACATCTGTAATCCTAGCTACTCTGGAGGCAGAGATCGGAAGGATATCAGTTTGAGGCAATAAAAATGTGGGCATGGTGGCATGTGATTGTCATAAATAGGAAGATTGCCATCCAAGCCAGCTAGGGCATAAAAGCAAAACCCTACTCAAAAAAATATCTAAAGCAAAAAGGGGTGGGGAGGTCTCATGCACCAGAGCAAAGCAGGAGGGAGGATACAAGAACCTAGTAACTTGCTGGGTTTCCTGATAGGCCTACCTCGGGCAGTGCCCCCAGGTTCCCCAGGTCTCCCAGTGTCTCTAAGCCCTCCAATGCCTCCAGGGCCCCTAATTCCTCCATACATACTAGTTCCTCCAAGCCCCCCAGTCCCTCCAGGGCCCCCAGCTCCCACAGGCCTCCTACTGCCTCCAGGACCCCAGGTCCCCTCAGCCCCTCTAGTCCCTCCAGGCTCTTCAGGTTTCCTGTGGAGGGTGATGCAGCAGCACCAGCTGGAAGCACTGTTTGAGAGGACCAAGTATCTAACCTACCAGGACCGCATGGCTCTGGTGGAAAGGCTGAAGCTGCAGGAGCACCAAGTGCAGGGGTGGTTCAAGAACCGCTGGGCTAAAATCTCTCAGCAGCGTCCCCAGAAAAAGCTACAATCCTCTGATGCGCAGGGCCAGGAAGTCAGCCACAGAGCTCAAGCTGGGCACCCCAACCCCAGAGTCAGTCCCTCTATCTCCACTCCAGCCAATGCACATTCCTTGTTCCCTGGAGACCCACGTTTGGGCTATCTCCCTCCATCCAGTACCTTGGATACATTCCCACTAGAGGAATCCCCCTTCTCCAGCTTGGGTCAGGCCTGAAGGGTTCCTGGGCGTAGCACCCACAATAGCATCCCAGAAGCCCTACCTGGCGCCCCAGTCGCAGCCCCACCTGGAGCCTGGCCTCAGAACTCTAATGCTTCAGACTTCTCACTAAACACTGGGTTATTACCTGAGCTCTTCTCACCCCTAGACCCTGACATGGAACAATTCATATCTACCATGACATCTGGGCACCAAGACAGAGGTGGCATTGCGGACAAGGATAACTCAGGCCCAGGACATTTCTAAACCTTTTTTTCATTGCTGGGGAATCGAACCTAGGACCTCATGAGTGCAAGCTCCATCACCCAGTCCCAGGTTTCTGAATCTACAGATCTGCCTTCAGGACACTATAAATCCCACGGAGTCCAGCAGGCCCTCACCCTGGGTCTCCCCACCTTGCTGGATGTTATCATTTGTTGTTTTCCCTATGCAGACACTAACTGTCCCCACTTTGTCAACTGGGCCACATGGGAGCATTCCAGTGGGTTGTGGAGCTGCACCTGGGTGCTAGGATTATAGGTGTATGCTGACACACCTGGCAAAACTTTCAACTGTTTTTGGATCCAGGGCCTTGGATATGCCAAGGCAGGCCTCTACTACTGGGCCACCCCAGGGCTAGGGGGCTCTTATAACTTTGTACCCTAAGAAGTTTTCTTAGAGAGGGTTAGGAGGTGCTAGGGATGGAACCCAGGACCTCCCACATGATAGGCAAGCACTCCACCACAGAGTTTCCCCCACCCCTTTTCTTGTTTCAGTGTCATATCCCTCATGTTTGAGATGTGGACATTCACAGGGGAATTGAGAAGTCTTGTTTGGTATCTTTTTTAAATTTTTTCTCAGAATCAGATTTTGTATAAATTGATGCTTTTTAATATGAAATTGTTTTGGCAATTAGTATATTATAGCTATGTTCTGTGACTTATTCTTTTTTACTGAATAAATTTTTTTTGAGGAGAAAAAAAGGGAGTGTGGGGGGTGTGACTGAAGTGGTAGAATGTCTACTTAAACAAGCACAAAGCCATGAGTTCAAACCCCAGGAACAATCTCCACCCCCACCAAAAAAAGAAAAGTTGATAAAAATAAAGCTCTTAAAACATCTTGGCTCATAAGAAATACTAATGTTGGAGATAAGCGTTATCTCTATATTACAGATGAAGAGACTGAGACAAGTTTGTTAAATAACTCTTCCAAGATCACAGAACTAGGAAGTGACAAAGCCAAGATTCAAGCCTACACTTGGGGTCTGAAATACAGGTTCAAAATTAACCACAATGTTTCTATGTCTCTAAGGAGAGCTTTTTCTGTCTTTCAAATCAACAATGGAAGGTTAGTGGTAAAAAGAAAACTTTGTAAACCATCTAACTGCCATAAGCAAAGAATCAAGACATTAAGCACTCACTGCAACTTGCATGAAAATCAGATACAGCAGGCCATATCCCAAGACCTGATGCCATCATCAGCACCCACGGAACAGGGTTTCCTAACTCAAATTACCCAGGATGTTCTTTCCCAAGCCCTAGAAGACATCCAGATTCAGAAGAGCCCCATAGCAGAGAACGTTGCCAATGCCTTTCTGAAAACTCAGGACAAATCAGTCAGATGAGTATAAAGAGAGGACAGCACAGTCTAGCCCCCTTCAGATACTCTCTCCTGCAACATCAGCAAATTCCAGCTGCGTTTGCCCCTTGCCTCCATTTCTACATGTACAGAGGGAATTCAAAGGTAATAAAAGACCATCTTACCTTTTTAAAAATTTTTCCATTTGGTTGTACTTCATCTTCCTCATTTAAAATTTCACGTGTTCCCAAGAGTCTTTTGTCCTTAAATTTGTTTTTTGCATACATAAAAACTTTATCTAGTGTATCACATCCAGGGTACAATACTGAGGCCAAGCCATCCAAACTATTAACAGATCTGTATGCAGAGTCAGGTTTTGAATTTACAGGCTTTGCTTTAATTTGGTTTGATTTCTCTTGTCTTGTCTCAAATAAAAAGTAAAATGGAATGTATGTTAAAATAGTATAAAGTGTTATTATAAAATGTATGAAATATAAAAGAATGGGGTTGATGGTCTGTTTTAGCTTCATGGTAGATGGTTTTGAAGATACGTGGTTATTCATAAGTATTCAAAAAGTAGAATTAGCAGATTTCAACAAGAATCTAGAAGGAAAAAACAAACAAACATCATTTAAAAAATTCTTCATATTAGTTAGGCAAATGAAGATTTTTTTTTTCCCAGTCAGGAAGGAGTTAGTATATAGGCCCCTACAATGTCTTAATGTTTCTAAGAGACTAGTTTATATCATATCTATTAACAACAGGATTGCACAAAAAAGTTTCCACAACATACTATAACACGTGGCCTTTCCAACCTAGCCCTAAGCATCCATACACACTTCCAGTGGTAAAGAGGAAACAAGCCGAGAGGGGGTGGGGGGAGGCGGGTAGGTGGGGAGGGAGGGAGAAAGAGAGAGAAACAGAGACAGAGACAGACAGACCAAAAATTCATCCATTTCCTTTTCTTTAGTGTCCCACTACATTAAAGATGACAAGTACTTTGCATATATGCCACACTCTCCTATTTCATGACTCTAGTAGGAACCATTACTAAATAATAACTGTATTCTGCCCCAGTAAGCCCCAATCCCACTCTAGGCAGTAGCAAGTACTTGCAAGCTGGCAAACATGAAAAATTTATTTTTCGTAGTGGATCAAGACATGTCAATTTAGGCAGGTAAAATTGTGAAGCAAGGCAGAAATTATGCTCATTCTGTGTACATTGTACTCAGATTTTCTGAAGCTTTATGTATTAGATACTGTTCTAAGTACTGGGAACGAAACAGTGAATAAAGCAGCCTAAGTCTCCCTGCTCTCATGGAATCCACACATTCACTGAGAAAGGTGGACATGAAAATGTGCCTGTAATGTATTTAGATATACACATATGCCCGCTTAGAGGTGTAAATGCTGTAAGGAAAAATAAACCAAGGTGAGGGAAATACATGGTGACTGGGATGTTCTAGTACATGGGTGGCTGGGGAAGCTTCACTGGCAAATAGTACCTGAAGAGACTTATAAGGAAGTGTAATATATGCCTATGTTCTGGGGGAAGACAAGCACTCTAGGCAGAGGAAATAGATATTGTGTGGCATGTTACCCTAGACACCTCCAAATTCAGGACTATGATTTTGCCCAAGGGGAAAGTGGCTGGTATTTTTCATCTCCCACCCCTGAGCTCCATGTTGCAAAACTTTTCAAGTGTGGCAAAGAAAGCCAAGGAATCCCTTCCTTCACCCAGGGAAACAGCTCTACCCTAGGCAAGCAGGCCAAGAATGGTGAGCCAGATTACCTTTGCTCTGTTCACTTTTTAAGGCAGAGGTTCCATGCAAGAAGAGAAGCTCCAAATGGAGATGAGTAACTACATCTATAATATCACACACCACTCAGAGACTTAACTACAAGGGTTCTGAACAGACCAAAGAAGCAGGCCATAAGGACGCAGAACTCTCTAACAACTTCTACAAAATGGAGATGCTTATACCTAAATGGTACTGTCAAAAACTACAAAGAAAAAAATTTTTAAATAACTTTTTAAAAAAACTAGACTTTGGTGGTGAGCAATTACAACGAGTCTGATGACTATGATAGCATCAAGTGAAAGAGTAAACCAATCAGAAATTTAGCAGAGAATCAAGGACAGAGCTACCTAAGAACACTCCTAGATTCCTAACAAACCTAAAGGACTGTCCTCTGGCACAACTTGTACAAAAAGCATTTTAACTGGACACACTGCAGAACAATTTATGGTCAAGAGCTTTGTCCAAAACACCTCACAATCAGTGAAGAATAACTGCTGGGTGTGATACCAATAGACAGACTAGGCACAAACTTTACAAGGAAAACAGTTTTGATAAACTACTATTACCCCTTGAGGAGGGCAGTTTAGGGTGATGGTGTGTGAGCCCAAGGGCCTAGATGTCAAACTTAATAAATATCAAAGCAGCTATTATAAGTATGTTCAAGAAAACTAAAAGCAACCACACTTTAACACATTAGAAATTCAACTCTCTTATGAAATAAGGAACGTCTCCAAATTTGCTCATGCATGGCTAGTGAGAAGCCAGACTCCCAACTGAGCGCCAAGTTCTCTACCACTCTTTGACAATGTATTATGCAATATTCTGAAGACCAGTCCAGATAATAAGGATTTTTGTCATAAAAGTCATGGAGAGCCACTGAAAAGTTTTTGTAAAGAAAAAAAAAAATGGAACAATGAAAATAAATCATCCTGTTACTTCTAGGACATCAGAGTCACAAAGAATAAATGTACCCTAATAACTCCCAAAGGATATTTCTAACTAAGTAATTCCCTCTGAAACTTAATTTTGCATGTTGGCGTTTTGAATGTCATAGTTTTAAAAATTATTGTCATACACAATATGATCATGTGTATAGAAAACCCCAAGGAACTCACTAAAAAGTTATTAGAGTACAGAGTTAAGCAAGGTTGTATGATACAAGTCTGTGATAGTACAATACAATAATACAGTGTGTATTTGATCTTCATTCCTGGTACAGCGCTCCTAAAACCCTTAGAATTTTTCAGTGAGTAAAGTAAGGGTCTTTTGTTGTTTATAAGCCCCTTTCAACCATGCCTGAAATTTTATTAATGAAGTGACTCTTGGTGGATGGGGACTGGCTGCCAAAGAAGCCAGCTACATAATTAAAGAAATGGAACTTTCAGGTCTACCCTCTGACCTCTGGGGAGGGGAGCGAGGTTACAGATTGAGCTAATCACCAATGGCCAATGATTTAATAAATTGTGTGTTGCAGCACTTCCATAAAAACCCTGGAGGGTGGTGCACCCCAAATGCACAGGGTCAGAAGCTCCTGGTGGGTCTGCACTCAAAACCTTTCCATATCTCAATCTATGTACCCTTCATCTAGATATTCATCTGTATCCTTTGTAATATCCCTTATAATAAACTAGTAATAACAAAGTGCTTTCTCGAATTCACTATGGTAAATTGTCAAACTTAAAAGAGAGGGTTATAGAAAACCTCCAATTTACAACCATGTCAGACAGAAGTACGTAATTAGCAGCTAAAGAGGGAAGGGCACAGTCTCGTGGGACTGAGCCCTTAGCCTGTACAATTGCTATTAGGATCTGGGTAGTTGCTGTTAGAACTGAACTAAATTGTACACAGTTGATTTTCAGAGAACTGGACAATTACTGCTTTCAGTATCTGGTAAGACTCTTGCTACCCATATTTCCCAATTTTTTCTTGTCAATTCTTATAGATGTATTCCACTACATAAATTTTAAAGATTTCACATTTCTGTATGATGAAACAATTTTAAAAAAGAAAACAAGGCCAAGCACTGGTGGCTCATGCCTATAATCATAGCTACTTGGAAGGCAATTCACAAGGATCGCAGTTTGAAGCCAGACTAGGCAAATCATTCACAACACCCTATCTTGAAAATACGCAACAACAAAAATAGCTGGTGGAATGACTCAAGTGGTAGAGTGCCTGCCTAGCAGGCCTGGAGTTCAAACCCCAGTACCACCATAAACAAACAAACAAAAAAGTAAGAAAACAAGACTCAAAAAAGAGTTAACACCGGCAAAATATGCAAAGACTGCCTATATAATTTTAAAAGTTAAGCAACACAAGGAGAACTGAGCAAAAAATATGTATGGAGATGACAAAAAGGAGTAAGGGTAGGTGTCTAATACGTAATGATAATGTTAGGGAGGGAGGGAGGGAGGGAGGAAGACCATGGGAGGTGATGGTCTTAGCAGAATGCTTAAACTGAGATTATAGAGGGTATGAGCTAAGGTGAATGTGGAGGTCTAGGTTATGACCATAAAGGGGGGGGGAGTTCCTCCTAGCCCCTGATCTCTGAAGTATGTGGTCAATTAAGGTCAGGCTAATGAGAACTGAAAGACTGTGATATTGAAATTGCAAATTTTCATGATAGGATACTACTAAGGTTACACAAAGCCTTGTGTTACAAGTATTTAAATATTTGGTGAAGTGGGTGCAGGAGTAGATGACTATTACAAGAAGAATAGTGAGTGGTACAGTCTGAAGGCAAGGTTTAAAAAGATATAGCAGTATTGTTTCTGTAGCAAAAAAAACAAAACTGGAAAATGACCTATAGCTCAGTTAATCAAAGAATAGCTTTAGAACTAGGGATCCCAAGATGGCGACTGGAGGGAGGAAGCAGAAAGCATGATTCCTGAAGTAAAATCTTGGAGAGACACTGAAGATACACCTTGCAGGAAAACCACCAAAAAGAGGTAAAACTCTGACTCCTCCACACCCCCAGCCCGTATCCCCACTCCACAGTAAACGGAGAAACCAGGAGGCTCCCGCACCACCAGACGCCAGCTCCTACCAGCTCGAGAGACGCAGACCACCAGGTGAGCTATGCAGCATGTGGTACTCCCACAAACAACCCTGGGCCAGATCAGCACAGCCCCCTGGACAGAATGACCTCCACCCAGCGAAAAAAGAGAAAAAAACAAACTGAATAATAAACAACAAAAACAACAAAAAGACAGGTAGCAAAGAGGGCGGGGCACTGAGCTCTGAAGAGTGGGGGAGGGGCAATCCCTCAAGAACTGTAAATAAACAAGCTGGCCTGAGAACGCAGGAGTGGTGGTCCCCACCCAGCAACCTTGGAGCCGGAAAGCTTGTAAAAGTGTCCAGGTGGGTTCCACTGGAGGGCGGGGAAAGGGCACTTCCCACGCGGTGGCCAGAGAAGGTGGGGGTAGCACCACCTCCCCTAGTGTGCTTGCAGAAGGGAAGGCTTTAACAGCAGCCGTTGTGCCCAGCAGAATTCTAAATACACATAGCCTGTGGGGCTCCGTGAGTGTTAAGCTCATTCCTGAGATCTGCAAACAATGAAACCTCCAGCAACAGCTGGCTGACAGCAGCAGGTAGGTGAGCCACAGCCTCAGACAGACATTCACAAATCTGTCTCCAGATTCTTTTTTTTTTCTTCTTTTTTTCTCTTCCTTTGATGAGACAACAACAGAACTAAAACTGGAAGCTGAAGGACTAGCTAAAACTACTGCATTTGAACTTGGGATTTTTGTTTGGTTTTGTTTTTTTGTTTTTTGTTTTTTCTGTTTGTTTTGATTTTTGGTT